TATGGATGCTTTTTGTAGAGATTTGTGAACCTTGTTAAATGGGAAAAGACTTGAATGTGTTATTGAATGCTTTTTGTAGAGAAGGAGTAATAGTGGTTTGTTGAATGGCCATGTGTTTTTTTTTTTTTTGACAGGTAAATGGCCAAGTGTTTGAAACATCAAATGGCCAGTTTCTGATCTACTAAACAGTGACTGGATAGCTCTCACTATGGGCAGAAATAATGATTTGTTGAATGGCCAGGTGTTTTTTCTTTTTGACAGGTAAATGGCCAAGTGTTTGAAACATCAAATGACCAGTTTCTGGTCTACTAGTTTGAATGGCCAGTTTTTGGTCTACTAAGTAGTGACTGAATAACTCTCACTATGGGTAGAAATAATGATTTGTTGAATGGGCAGGTGTTTTTTCTTTTTGACAAGTAAATGGTCAACTATTTGAATGGCCAGTTTGTAGTCTACTAAACAGGTTGTAAGCTGATCGAATTGCTCTCACTATGGGTAGATTGCTGAATGGCTAGGTGTTTTTTTTTGACAGGAAAATGGCCAGGTGTTTGACTTTTTGAAAGTTTCAAATGGCCATTGGCCAGTTTGAATGGCTACTTTCTAGTCTACTAATTTATTACAAACTTGTTGAAAATTGAAACATCAAATGGCCAAGTGTTGAATCATGAATGGCCAAGGCTGATATAGTAAAATCCCTTAGCAACCCATTGATTTTTTTAATAAAAATGAAAAAATAACAATGAAAACCAAAAATAGTAAACAATCACACTGGTTTTTTAATAAAAATGAAAAAAAACCGAAAACCGAAGACCGGTTAATCAGTTAACTGGTTAACTGCTTATTTCGGTTCGGTTTCGATTCGGGCTAATGCAAAAACTGGTGATACCGGTTCGGTTTGTAAAATATGCCCACGGTTCGGAACCAAACCATGGATACCCCTAATCAAGATGTAAGTACACAGGTTTAGGTCCTATGGAGAATGCGTTGAAGACCTTCAAGCATGTGACTACAACACACTTTCATCTTATTAGCAACCTAAACTTCTGCGCTTAGAGAGCAAAAGAAATGCACTGAAAACACTCACCATGGATAGCATGGCTTGAAATACCCATAGCGTAATCCCACCTTAACTTCAAATTCAACAAGTTAAATTACTTGCGAAGAAATGTATTGGACTATACTCTCAGTGCAATGTAATTGGGCTTGACCCGAACATCACCTGTCCCATGATTTAATATATCAGCGTAGTAACCTTTCATGCTGCGAATCAATATCACCAAAAATTATAGTGCATTAGCATGGCGTGCTCAAAAGAATCCTGCGACAACACATCACTTGTGATAACAAACCGGTGTGTTAACACTTCAACCACATATCTAAAGCAAGGTTGTAGTCGAGTTCGTGCTTGCGTGCGACGCTCGAGAGAAAGGGTGAGAACTTTGATGCCAAGATCCCTATGGTGACAAAACTCTACTTGTGAACCTTTTGTCTTAGATGTAACCAACTAACAAACTTTCCCACTTTGGAGAAAGCCTCCTTTCTTTTTATGTGACTTCCTATTCAGTTAGGATGGCTTTCTCTATAAATAGAGGAGGGTCGAAGCTCTCTTCACGCATAAAAACTCTCTTTAAGCTCACTGCAACTTCTTCTCCTCTTCCCTCTCCCTCTCTAAAGCCACCTACTGTCTTTCAAGTAAGCCCCTAATGTTGCCTTACCTCCCTACCTACATAAGGTACCAAAATCACCTTGCAGCCCCACTCAAATAATAATTTTTTGATGTTTACATCAACACCCCATGCAAGTATTAGGTGAAAAATGTGCAAAATATGGTGCATATATCAAATTAAATCAACCGTGGTGGTGTGGTGTGGGTGGCATCATTATTCTTTAGTGGCAATGGATCTCCAATTTAATGGTTAAGCAATTGATCTCCCACTTTCTTTCTAGGTTACTTTATTTGACCACACCAGTATTAGAATGTACCCCAATCACCATGAAGGTGGGATTCAATCCTAAGTTCCCATGTCCCCAACTTCTACATCTCTTTTAACCAACCAGCCAGAGAACTTGCAAGCAAATTAGTTAGTAAGTTCTATGATGTCTTTAAAATATCGCAATGTATCAGGCCGTATCGGCCGACACATACCATTCTGATAAGAAACTAATACATGGAACGTGTAAAAATCATGTGTTCCATTTCTTTACATATGTATCGGCCGATACAAGCCCATATCGGGCTGTTTCGGATCTCTATTGGTTAATACAAGCCCGAAATAGGCCGATACAAACTGAATCATTTTGGTTCCCCTTGTTCCATTAATTTCATTAATTTATATTTAATACTGAATCTCTCTCATTAATGTTGTTTATTACTTCTATATTTAAGTCTAACTTCTTCATTAATTAGTTAATTACTCCTATATTTAAGGCAAATTTAAATTTAAATTTGAATTTTAGCACATAATTACAATTCTCTCGTTAATTTTATTAAGGTTGCGTTTGTTAACGATGCAAATGGAGTGTAAATCCTGGTTCAGGGTAAATTTGCACTTGGTTCACTTTTTCTTGTGTTTGGCAACATTACATTTATGCATTGACAAATGCTAGAAAACACATTTTCCAATGCATATTTACATTGATAATAAGAAAAGTACATCAGGTTGTGTTTGTTTTTAGTGTAAAATTTTTATGATGTAAAGTACATCGATTGAAAAGTTAATCGATCGGTTTAAATATAGTGAACTATTAAAGTGAAAAAGGAATAGTTAGTGCATATAAAATATTACATCGATTTTATCGATGTAGTCTTTACATTGATTATCAATGTAAAACTCCATTGTAAGTGGAGTTTATATCGATTTTCAATGAAAAATTTACATTGAAAACAAACGCGAACAAAATTGAACCGGGGTGTAAAGTTCACCCCAATTCTCATTTACATCGAAAACAAATGCAGTTTCAATAAAAAAGAAGTAAATTTGCATTCAAGTGGGCTTTTGATAAAAAAAGGCATATGCTTTATTGGAATTCGTGTTTGCACCCATTACAACTAAAAGTCTATTTGGTAAGAAGGTAAATTTGTCAGTGCAAAACTAACCCAACTTTGCAATTTATATGGACCCTTTTACACTACATATTTGCATTCACACTTATTTGCATCTTTTCCAAATGCAACCTAATTAATGATTTTCTCTCTCTCATTAATTTTGTTTTATTAGTGTAAAAACTATTAACAATAACAAGACTTGAACCCTAGTCACCAAATTTTAATGCCCATAATTTTGTCACTAAACCACTCCAATTTGTTTGTTGTAAGTATATGCATTTTTAGTTTTAAGTCAATTTTCTCTGTTTTTTGTGGTGCTTATTAACCAATTTGTTTGGTTATTTGAAAATTGATGTATATACATTCATATTTTAGTTTTTTTTTGTTTTCTTACATTTTAGTTATTCCATCATTTTTCAATGGCTACTAATTATATCTCGATATGTCACATTTTATATAAAGATTAAATTATGATTTTTTTTACATTTAAATGACTTATTTACAATCATATAAAACTTGTAAGTATTATTAATAATATATATTTTTTATGATTTATTTGAATTTCCTAGTATATTTAGGCGTATCTTGATTTTTCGTTTGTATCCATGCGTGTATCCAAAATGTATCCCAATACGTCTCTTAAAATTATCTTTTTGATACACTTTGTGTTTCCGATACTTTGAACCTTGGTCAATAGGATATATGGCAATTGGACTCAGGAGTCCAATGTTGGTGACAATAGGATTTGATCCAAAGTTTTCACTACAGCTAGCTAAAGAACTTGTGAACTGAGACTGAGATGTCATTTATAAGGCTATAAATGGATTGGAATCATCAAATTCTAAGGCTGATCCAATTATTGGAAACTTGCATATGAATCCAGCCAAAATCTGATTAGATTTAAAGAGCTTGGATTCGAATTCGAATCCCAAAAAACTCGGATCATATTCGAATTTAATCTGACTCCACTTTAATTTTTTAAAATAAAAAATTATAAAGTTAATTACATTTCAATTTTTATATATAATAAACTACTATAAATATAACATACTAAATTTATTATATATATAATTCATATATAATATAATATATACAAATATATTTTTTATAATTTTAAAAATAATTATATAAAATTTATATATTCAAATCAATAAATATTATAATATACTTGCATTTGGATTTTAATCATATTGGATGGAGTCAAATCCTAATATGATTCGACCTATAATTGAATGTAGATTGAAAGATCTAAATTTGATCCAATTACATAAACACATCAATTCAAAGTAATCAGATCGAATGTTAATCAGGCCGCATAGTTTCACAAACCCAACCGTCATCAGTTGGTAAAGGATCGTCATTTTGGGCCAGTCCTATATCTCTGTGTTCCATATAATATTGGTCTCTCGCATGGAGTGCTTGAAACACTAATTCAAAGAAGAAGACAAAAAAGAATGATTGGGGCCTAGCCATCTGTGATGGCATGGTCAATCCCGCATGGATTAAAATTAATAGGAAACATCATACTAATTACAGGTGCAGTGCGGTGCGAGTAGGAATGGCAACAGGGCGGGGTGGGGACGAGGAGCATCTCCCCATTCCCATCCTCACAAAATTCCCCATCCCCGTCCCTAGGGGGATACCCATCCCCGTGATTTTTTATAATGTTAACCATTTTATTCTTGTTTTTTATATTATTTAAAAAATAAAAATAAAATAATTAAAATTTATAGTCCTGTTAGAAAAGATTTAAACATACTCAACCATATATTTTAAAATATTAATATATAGACATATACATATATATCAGTGGGGATCCGGGGAGGAAGTGCTCTCCCCGTTCCCGTGGGAGAAAATAATCACCATCCGCACCTCATTTGGGTTGGATCCTAAGGGAAATGGGGAAAATTGTCATCCCAATGTGCGAGGTTGGCATTTTGGTTATTTTAATATGAAAACAGGATTATTTTGTGAAAGAGATGATGGGGGAGCGGGGAGCCTGTTGTAGTGGAACCGTGGAAGGATAAGGTCATCTCAGAGCTTGGAAACTCCACCCACCACAAGTCTAGTCTAGATTCTATCGCTAACAACAGTGGAACCATTCTGAGTTCTGAGATTTGGAGACGAGGTAAAGAACTCAACGGGAAAGCTCTGAACCCTCTAATCTGAGAAAACAATAATCCTGGTCGATCGAGATGAAGGTTTTTACTCTTAGGACTCAATCCTACTTTCCAATTAGGCAGTCTAACCTCAACGCTCCAACGGCTATACATCAGTATCGCCATCTCCTCTCAATCAGTACCATTTCATATTCCAAATACCCTTCCAGTTCATCCCTGCCATCCATCAATTCCAGAACTACACCCCTTCCTACACAGAGCATTAGATACCGAAAGCAAACGGGCTATGGGGATAAGCCAACCGACTTGGATTTGGAGTCGTATTCCGAAGTTAGTGCTCATCAACCAAAACACGAGTTACTTGAAGTATCCTCTGGTGGATTGTCAAGGTTCGTGATCCTGGGTGCATTTTCTCTGGGACTAGCAATGTTTATTGCAGGGATGGATGACCAGAAGGCCTTGGCTTTGGGTCCTGAAGGGCCTTTGATGGAGGAATTTTGGGACAATATGAGGAGATATGCGCTTTATATTCTCACAGTGAGTACAGGTGCTATCTATACCATCTTCCAGCCTATACTAGAACTGCTCAAGAACCCCATCTCTGCGTTTCTCATCATAACAATTGTAGCGGGCAGCTTTTACATTGTTTCTCAAGTGCTTTCTGCCATGGTTGGTGTATCTGATTTTACTTATGACTATGGGTATTAAATGAAGAAGAGTTTTTTGTCATTTTGATCTCTCTCCCTCTCTTATGCCGAACCATACCCTTATCGGAGATGAATAACTGTATCTTATCCCAATTCAGTCGTTCAATCTATCAGATGAGTCTCACCATCAGTAGAAAATCAACCTGGTAATGAGTAATGGGTATTGTGTAAGCATTACCATTTACCAGTTTGTGTCTGGAAATTAATTACTATATATAAGATTCCTTTTTTCCTCAAAAGAGCAAATTAAAGCAGACCTGCAATCTCTTCCTGCATACATTGGTGAATGTAATTTTTTTTTCTTTCGTTGGCAAGTGAACTTTTAATTAAAAGAGAAGAACCCGGTTGGTCTGAAGGGCTTGGGGATTGCATCAAAGTCCATATATCATGATCCATTCAAGAAATAAGAACCAGTTCTGCTCTGCTCAAATGCTACTCTCACCTAGAATTCTAGTAGCTACTAAATGAATGAGAAGCTCGGCTTATAAAGGATAAACAAATGCACTCAAAAAATCCAAGTCCATGTCTGATGTCCACTATTACAAACCAAATGCCATCAGGAGTAACTAGAATCTGGATTTTTAAGATCCGCATCGCTCAACTAACATTAGAAAAGGATCATATACGGTTAGCTATCTGATAAAAAATCATCACTCTACTCAATCAAGAAGCATACCACAACTGCAATTTTGGTTAAAGAGTTTTTGGCAAGCCATGTCTCTGCCCAAGCCACTATTTGTGTTCCTCTCTCTCTCTCTCTTGCTCACTCACTCTCACAATCTTTCCCTCTTCTTTGTCTTTGTAACAGAGACTTAGAAAGAAAAGGGTTTTGTGGGGTTTTTTGTGTTTGAAGAAAAGAGAGAAAGAGAGAGGTATTAGGGGTCGAGAGAGAGAGAGAGAGAGTCATCTTGACGTCGACGAATTAGAGGCGGGTTCATTCCCACTCAAATACTGTTCTGTTGTACTTTCTGTTTTTTGTTTTTTGGTTTGGCGCATTGGGTTGATGACCGGAGATGGATCTATTCTTATTGCGATGTTGTGGATTGTAATACAAAAAAAAAAAAAATGTGGATTGGGTTGCCCAATGTTTTGCCAACTTCATAATTTGACTGTTAACTTCTTATATTGATTTCCTCAATCCTATGGTGGTGCATACAGTGATAGAGACATAGGTTGGTGTTTGAAAAGCTAAGAAGTATTGCTCTGTGGTGTCATTCTGTTCATAGTGCTTATCGTTTATGGAAAAAGTATATGAAGTTACCTTTGCAGGTGGAGGTGCTTCTGACATGTCTTCAATCTTCTACTACAAATAATTGTTTGGACGCCAATTATATTCGAGTTATTGAATTGTGCTTTCTGACAGGGTAGTTGTTAAGGATGGTCGTGCTTCTTCTGCTTGGGTGACCTTGGATGGTGCAAACTGGTTTATCATATATAGGGGTGGAATATGGAATATGTTGGTGACAAGGTTGTGCAGTGGGTAAGGGTGTCAATCGACTGGTTTTGGATTGGACCCGTTCAAACCAAAACCAATTTGGACGGACCAACAAGATATATTGAATTAGACCAATCCAAACTTAAATGGTTGAAAGTATTTATCGGATTGGATTGGATCTGGTCTGTCCATAATGAATTTATATTGGATTGGGTTGGATTGATCCAATGTCTGGTCCATTGATATAAGATAAGAATATAAGTATCAATAGATCAGGTTTGAATTGAAAGCAATCTAAACAAAATCGAATTTGAACAAATTGGACGGTCCATACATTAAAATTGGACTGGTCCAAAATATTCATTAGATTGGATTGAATCTGATCCATTTGTAATGGATTCACATGAACTGGATCAGATTGGACCAAATCCAGTCCAATTGACACCCCTAGTAATGGGCATAAGGCTTGTGTACTTTAAGATGATGGTTATTGATGGTGCGCAATCTTGATGCTCTTAGCTTGAGGGCAGCTCGGATGTCGGTCCGCTTTGTTGGATGGTCGAACAGTAAAAAGAGGAACGTTTAGAGGACCCAGGGTGGCTTATCCGGTGTGGGTGCTCCGATGCTTAAGTTGGTAACTTGTGTGCGAGCTGAAAGACTGTATGCTAAAAGGCTAGTGAGCAAATAATTGGGCGTACCTTTTGACGTTGGGGTTGGTGCCCTTATATAGGTGAGTTTCCATAGGTCTTATGAAACACCTCCAAAATCCCCAGCCCATGCTACTAGGAATCCGTTCCGCACTTGGAGATGGGTTTCATATGAGCTAATAAGGCTTATCGTGTCTGTCCGATCTAAGTGGGATAAGGATAAGGCTTGTAGACGTGCGATGTGATATGGGAGAGGTTGGAGATAGCTAGCTAGCTTTTAGAAGTCAGCTACGTGTCTCCTCGGCAGGTCAGGCCACCACAAGCTACTTGAACCTCAATCTTGGTCGAGGTGCCTGAGGCACTCGAGCTGACCTGGCCTATTAAGGTGGTAGGGAGCACTGAGTTGTCGTCCAGTCAGTAGATCGCTTCTATGTGTCTGGATGTCGATAGGTCGGTCCAAATTACCCCTCATCAATTGCCCCCCATTCCCGTGTCAGGGGTACTTGACCTGGTATGGGAGTTCATGACAATCCTGGGTAGATTTGGCCCAGTCTTCATCTTGGCCGAGGTCTGGTCTATGGGTTATACTTAAACGACTCGACTGGCTCAACCTTAGAGCTAGATCGCATCTCGGGAATGTGCGGACATGACTCGAATTATGAATTCCACAGACATTAAACATGCGCTCAACTAATTTTGTCCTCAAAAGTCGTGCAACCGCCCTCATGGGAGTCGTCGGATCAGGTCAATCTGAGTTGTTCGTGATTGACTACAACGACTATAAATAAGGGCCTTGGGGTCCCATTTTCTTTGTCTTGATTTGAGCTTTCGCGTTCTGGAGGTCGTGTGCTAACTTCAGCGTTTTAGGTCGGTCATCCACTCTTTGAGGTCGGTCTATTTCCTTTTGGGTAAGATGTCTTTCCTTGCTCTAGTCTTTTCTTTGTCTTCATTTCCATCATGTCTAGTAGTGATAGTTTGTTTGATGGGAGTTCGGGATCTGGTCAGGCCAAGGAGGGCACCTCGTCTCAAGAATTGGAGTTTGGTCCAACCGAGGTGGGCACCTTGGTTCAAGACCGAAAAACCTCTTATAAGAAGGTGTCGTCTTCACGGCAAACACGCCAGCCTAGAGAACTAGATAGCTTTGTTCCTTCCAAAATGTCCCCCAAGCAGATTCATACTTTGGTTGTTTAGTTCAAATTCCCCGACCACTATAGTTATTACCTACCCTTTGAGGGCTTTCCCTGGGAACACGAGCACGAGGAGACAATATTCTTTGCAAAGCACTTGATCGCTGGGCTACGTTTTCCTCTTCACCCTTTCATTATTGAAGTTCTAAAATTCTTCGACGTCACCATCGACCAACTCCACCTGAACTCAATTCGCACCCTGGTTGGTACCATCTCCCTTTTCCACGACCTCAATCTCCCTTTAGACTTAGATACCTTCAGCTTGCTATCCTCCATAAAGAAAAATCCAGCCGGCCCTAAGGGAGTGGACAAGTTTAGTTACTATATAGATTATCGGCTTGGATACAAACTTCTTTATGAGTATCCCTCGAAGGTCCCAACTTGGAAGAGGAGATACTTCACAGTTGTTGTTGATGGGAGGTGGCCTTTCCCAACACACTGGAGGCATCAGTGACCCTGGGGATCACCTGGATAGGAAGATGAAGAAAAAGATGCATTCCTTGGTCGAGCTCCACCTAAGGCTAGAGGACTACTTGACCGAGGAGAAACTTATTAAGGCCGGGCTGAGTCCCTCAGGTAGGTCGTCACTTCGGGCACATGTACTTTGTCTTTTCATGCTTTTATTATATTGCTTTGGCTGATCTTCTGCTTGCCTTCCACATGTATTATGGCTGATATTCCGATGACTGAACTTTTCTCCAACATGAAGAAGAGAAAGAGGAAGAAGTCCCGAGGACATTCTTCCCATAATGCGGTAGCCGAGCCCATTGCCCCTGCTAAGACCGAGGACCCCCCGGTCATCAACTTGGTCGAAGAGGACCAAGAGAGGAGGTCACCGCCCCATCAGCCCGAGGTGGCCCATTCTTTTGAGCCTCGGTCTAGTCATCCCGGGGCTAGCTCTTCAGGTGGAGGTTCTGGGGGAAATGAAGCTTCATGGATTTCCAAGTCAACCTTGAAAAGAGCAAGGAAGCGGTTTTCCCCGAGGAGATTTCTCAGCTCGCCGAGCAGCTGACTCCTGAGATGGACGTGAAGGCATTGTGCCATCTCATGGTAGTAAGTCTCGATCTCACTACTTCGATGTTTCTTGGATATTCTCTAATACTTAGTAAAATTTTGTTTCTTTTGCAAACCAACTCCATAGTTCATGCACTTTTGAAGCAATCTGAGCAGCTAGCTTTGAAGGTGCAAACTGCCGGGGTGGTGACCACGGAGTGTCGGGCCAAGATGGTGAAGGCCGTTGACGCCATTAGAAAACTAGAGGCTGATGTGGCGACGAAGGGCAAGCAGGTTGAGAGATTGACGAAGGAAGCCAAGGAGTGGAGGATTGCTTTAACCGAGTGTGAGGCCACTCTCACTCAAGGAATCAAGGACACAGAGGTTTCTGCCATCGAAAACTACAAGACTTTGCCGAAATTCGATAAACTTAGTCTGGACCTCGGTACCGTAACCTTTCGTAAGGGCTTCAAACTTTTCCGTTGGTTAGCTAGGCGGGCGTTCCCCGAGATTGACTTTGGAGCTATCACCATCGTGGGTGTCACTATGGAGATGGTGCTTGAGGCTGATAAAGACCCCGACTCTAAGTAGGAAGATGATGACGATGTTGACGAGGGAGCTACGGAGAAGGATGGCCAGGATGCCGTTGTTGAGGAGGCCTTGGACACTGATGAGGGCAAGGATAGTTTTGCAACTACTGTGGGTGGGGGCGAGGAGCCCCATGATGATTGATCACTGCCTCTTTTCTTGGACCCCCCCTTGTATAAACATCAATTACCAAGCCTCTGAGCTTGGTCTAGTAGGTTTTTCTCTCTCTTTTTTTTTTTGATATACAAATTCAGATTTTTAAGTAATGAAATACAACTTTTCTTTTCTTCACCTCGCGTACAAAAAATTTCCTCATAAAAAATATTCTAAGTGTAGGTTCTCCCCAGGCACCCAACTTCTAGAACAACTAGGCATGGTATGTGGTAACCTGAGGTAACTGTTAGCCGAGGCGAGTAGGCACGGTAAGGTATATGATCTAAATTGCCTATATGCTGATAAGGCATAAATAAGGTTTTCTTGTGCTACCCATATGCTAGAAAGCGACTGGGTCTTATTTTATCTTGGCACCAAGTCGTTACCAGCTTGACACCGTGACCCTTAGGCTTAGAGTAACTCGTCGTCCACTCTTCGATGTCTCATTTAGCTGACGTGCGGCCTGACTAGTTCGCCTAAGCGGGTGGTCATTTGTTCTTAGAAGATTTTTGAGGTGGCGGATGCCTGACTCCCGATGTCACGGGGCATGGGGCACTTGCCTCCCATCTAACGTCTTGATCTCATACGTCCCTTTACCGAACACCAGTTATACTCTATAGGGACCTTCCCAATTCCGTCCGAGCTTACCTACACCGGGCTCAGGTACCATTACTTTTCGATGTACTAGGTCGCCAACTCGAAAGTGGCATCGCTTGACTCGAGCATTGTAGTACCGAGCTACTCACTATTGGTAGGCTACAGTTCGGATGTAGGCCAGGTCGCGTACTTCTTTGATCAGGTTAGGGTTGGTCTGCCGCTTGTCGTCATTGGCCTCCTCGTCGTACGCCTCTAACCGCAGGGTTGGTACTTCGATCTCAGCTGGGATGACAGTCTGTGTACTATATGTCAGACTGAATGGGGTCTCTCCAATTGTTGTCTTAATTGTAGTTCGGTAGGCCCATAGGACACTGAGTAGGTCGTCGATCCACAAACCCTTAGCTCATGCAAGACGAGCTTTGAGTCCACGAAGGATCGCCCTGTTCATCACCTCAACTTAACTGTTCTCTTGTGGATAGGCCAATAATATCCTTGCCTTAGTACTTTTTGGGGAAGCGCCTTAGTTCTTTTTGGGTTTCTGTAAGACGTGCCTTAGTGGTCTATTAATTAGGACGATGATAGTGTGGGCTTGGAAGTAGGGGCGTAGCTTCCGAGTTCAATGACTAGTGTAAAGGCCAACTTTTTGACGCTGGGGTACCTAGTCTCAACTGCCTACAAAACCTTACTGATATAGTAGACAGGTCTTTGAACCCGGTCTACTTCTCTTATTAGTACCAAGCTGACTGCCTCATCACTCGCAAAGAGGTAAAGTTTTAGCTCATCTCCAGGTTCAGGTTGGGTTAAAACCGGGGGTGAACTTAAGTACCTTTTGAGCTCGTTGAATGCATGTTGGCACTCTTTGGACCATTCAAAGTCCTCGTTCTTTTTTATGGCCTTGAGAAAGGGCAAACACCGACTAGCCGAATTAGACATGAATTGGTTCAGGGCGGAAATTCGACCAATTAACCTTTGTACTTCTTTTATTGTCTCGGGTGGTCTGATATCTAGGATAGATTGAATTTTATCTGAGTTGGCTTCGATGCCATGCTGGTTCACTATGTAATCAAGGAACTTGCCCAATGTGACCCCGAAGACACACTTGTTCGGGTTGAGCTTCATGTTAAATTTTCTTAAGATTTGAAAAGCACAATTTAAATCATCAATAAGAGAAGAGGAAAACTGGGTCTTCATGACCATGTCATCTACATAACATTCAATTTTATTGCCTATTAAAGGCTCCAAAATCTTGTTTACAAGTTGTTGTAAGGTAACTCTAACATTTTTTAATCCAAAGGGTATGACTTTATAAAAGTACAACCCTAATTCAGTTACAAAAGAAGTTTTGAACTGGTCGGATAAGTCTATTTGAATTTGAGTGTAGTCTGAATAGGTGTCCATGAAGCTCAGCAACTCGTGCGCCAAGGTCGCGTCTACCAGGCAGTCAATTCTAAGAAGGGGGAAGCTATCCTTTGGGCAAGATCTGTTGAGATCGGTGTAGTCGATGCACATGCGCCACTTGCCGTTGGCTTTCTTCTTGAGCACAGGATTTTCTACCCAGATCGGGTACTGGACCTCTCTAACAAAGTCTATGGCGAGGAGCTTCCCGACCTCCTCATCTACTATCCTCCACCTCTCTGGGGCGAGGTTTCTTTTCCTTTACCTGATTGGCCTGACTAAAGGGTCCACATTAAGCTTATAAGTAATGATACTAGAGTCAATGCTGGGCATTTCTAGTGATGACCATGCAAAAACATCTAAATTTTTAAGTAAAAAACTTACCAGTTGTGACCGAAGTGGTTCGTTTAGGCGAGTGCCGATCTGGAGAGTCTTCATGGGCTCAGTATTAAAGAGCGGAACCTAGACAATATCCTCCATCGGTTCAGCTCGCTCGTTGGTGTGTTCGGGGGGGCAGCTCTAGCTCGACGTCATCTGCTAGCTTCGCTTTGCCCTTCAGTGCTGCGACATAGCACTTTTACAATTCCAGCTGGTCACCCCGTACTACCCCCACTCCGTACCTCATTAGAAACTTCATCGAGAGGTAGTAGGTCGTCACCACTGTATGAAGTGCATGCAAGATGGGCTGACCCAAGATAATGTTGTAGGGGGATAGGGTGGCGACCACGAGGAAGGTGTGCTTAAATTGGATAGTGTTGGGCTCTGCTCTTGCTACCACTGACAATTTGATCCTGCCAAGGGGCTTCACTACATCTCCGTTGAAACCGACCTGGGGCATGTCTGCTAGCTGAAGGTCCTTCTGGTCCAGCTCCATCTTCTCAAATGCTTCCAGGAATAAGATGTCTGAGGAATTGCTTGAATATACTAGAATCTGCTTTACCTCAAAGTCATTGATCACCATTTTGACCACAAGGGCGTCATCGTTCGAATACTGGATCCTACGAGCATTGTCCTCGGTGAAGTATATGACTTCCTCCACTCGAGGGCGCTTCGACAGGTTCTCATCCTCGTGCTCCAATTCCTGGACTACATTTTTGCCCGTTGCCGTGCTACAACCTGCTACTATTGACCCACTTGTAATCATGTTGATCACCCCATTGATTGATTTCTCCTGTGCTGGTGGATCTCGGGGTGGCTGCTCTCTGTTGTTCCACCTGCTCGACTCCAGTGCATCTCTATGATGAACAATAGGTCGACGGTCCTTGTCCTTGTACTTGATGAATTGTTTGAGGTATCCGCAGTGGATCAACTCCTCGATCTCATCCTTCAAGTTATGACAACTCTTTGTATCATGCCTGATATCCTGGTGGAAGTGACAATACCGGTTTGGGTTGCGATTGGCCGGCTCTCCTCTCATCCTGGGTGACCACTTGACATAATTGGCCTCCTTAATTTGCACCAAAATTCCGCCCTATTTTGCATTCAAGGTGGTGTAGTTCTGGTTCTGGACTGGGGGTTCTAGATCACTGACCTGATCTAGAGCCTCGACGTGGTGATCAACTCTTTCTAGGCGATTTGCTTCGCCTACTGTGCGGTGACATGCTTCTTTTTGGTGATTTACTCTTTCACCGTTGATGCTTGTTGTTGCTGCTTTCTTCCTCTATTCTCTTCCTTTCCCAACCTGGTGCAGCTCTAACCGGGACCTGAGAGCCTTCTCAGCCTTGATGAACTTATCAACTTCTATGAGGAACACCTCCATAGAAGTTGGTGAGTTCAACTCGAGCTACCAATGGAGATCAGGGTGACAGACTCCTTTCCGGGTCAAGGTTCAGTACCTGTAGCCTTTCTAGGTTGAATCTTTTAATATAGTCCCCGAGGGACTCATTCTCCTGCTGGACCACATTCAAAAGGCTAGTCACAAACTTCAGGCACTTCTTACTCGTAGCGAAGTGCATAGTGAAAAGATCTATGAACTAGTTCCAACTTTTTATTGAGCTAGGGGGTAGGCCTCAATACCATAATCTTGTCATGTCTTTGAAGGTCATGGAGAAAGCCATACAGAGATAGGCTTCATCTGCCCCATGAAGTAACACCAATGACTAGAAGCTATCACTATGATCATTGGGGTCAATGCTTCCATCGTAGGTCTCCAGGGCGGGCATCTTGAAGTTCTTCGGCCGCAGGGCCGAGAGAATTTCTGGTGCTAATGGGGAAGGCCGACTCAATGGAATCGAGGACGGTTGGAGAACAACCAAATTCACTTCTTCTCTCTTCTTCTCAGCCTCCAATGTGGGGGAAATGCTGCTCTTTGGGGTGGTGTGGCGTGCACATCTGTGGTGTTGCTTCTTTGTCACCTCATTGGTGTTATTTGCTTCGGTATTGGCCGGAGTCTCAGCCCTAACATTCTCCTAGTCTCTAACGTTCTCCCGATCTTTGACATTTGCACGAATAGGGGCCGGGTCCCGGTTGTCGTGGTGGTAGGATGGGTCCAGGGCTTGGTCCTTGCTTCTCACACTGGGCTGTTGGTTGCTGGGCTATTAGTCATCTTGTTGATGATGTTGCTGGTGATGTTGGTCATGGCGGTGCTGGTCATTTTGTGATCGACAATGCTCTTGATCGCTTTGATGACTACGTTGTGGCTGGTTGTTCTGCTGGTCAACCACAAGGGCTCGGGGCGGCAATGGATGTCGGAGAGGGGCTAGATCCCGAGGTGGTAACTGGCCCCGAGGTGGAGATGGACCCCGAGGTGGTGATTACCGTCGGTGTTGCTGGTTCTGCTGATGTTGCTGAGGCTGTTGTGGTGGCATTTATGCTTTGAACCTCTCCTCTACGTTCGTAGCTGTAGGTTCATAATCCTAACATTCTGCACCAACTCATAGAATTGTCGTGCATCTATCCCGGCAGGAACCGTAGAGGGCACTACCGCTGGCAGAGGGGCGCTCGCATGAGGCAGTGGTGCATTGACTTGCTGTAATGGGAATGTCAGGTTTGGCACCGCTGATACTCTTGGAATGGTGTGGGGCACGGTGAATTGCCCGATGGTCATAGAGGGGATCTCTTGGTTGATTGCAGGCTGATCCTGCCCCTCAGTGACAGAGACTTTGATGTTCTTGTTGTTGTTGCTAGAAGATGCCATTGAGTTGGTGAAAGTAACTGACTAAAAGGTAGGAACCTGGTTTTTTGTCACAGTTCCCATAGATGGCGCCAATTAATGGTGCGTGATCTGGATGCTCTTAGCTGGATGGAAGCTTGGACGTCAGTCTGCTTTGTTGGCTGGTCGAATTACAAAAGAGGAATGTTCAGAGGACCCGGGGTGGCTTACCCGATGTGGGTGCTCCGATGCTTAAGTTAGTAACTTGTGTGCGAGCTAAAAGCTTGTATGCTAGAAGGGTAGTGAGCAAATAATTGTGCGTACCTTGTGACGTTGGGGTTGGTGCCCTTATATAGGTGAGCTATCGTAGGTCTTATGAAACACTTCCAAGATCCTTGGCCTGTGCTACTAGGAATTCGTTCTGCACTCGGAGATGGACTTCGTGTGAGCTAATAAGGCTTATCGTGTCCGTTCAATCCGGGCGGGATAAGGATAAGGCTTGCAGACATGTGGCGTAATCTCGAAGAGGTCAGAGATAGCTGGCTAGCTTTTAGATGTCGGCTACATGTTACCTTGGCAGGTCGGGCCACCACAAGTTGCTCAGACCTCGGTCTTGGTCGAGGTGTCCAAGGCCCCCGAGCTGATCTGGCCAGTTGAGGTGGCAGGGAGCACTGAGTTGTCTTCCAGTCAATAGATCGCTTCCATGTGTCTGAATGTTGATAGGTTGGGCCAAATTACCCCTCATCAGTTATGTTTGTGTAGTCTCTACACATCCACATCTATAATGATAACAGTTGGCGATCTCATTCCTTGAGTGGTGTTTGATAAATATGAAAAGTTAAAAAGATATTAATGGCGTTTGAAATCTAAAAAGAGACATAGATGCTTTTTGACTTTTTAGAGGCTTTGAACGGAGAAGGTTGTTTGTGTTGAATCAAACCTTCAGCATCTAAAATTCCTTAATTTTACTATTTCACCCCTAGAACATACTATTTGGTAATTTTGAGTTCAATTTGTACTATTTCATAAATTATAATTTATTAATTCAAAATAATATTGAAAAATATGAACAAATTATGATAAGTTATAAAAAATTTAAAAATTATTAAAATAAGAATAAAATTGAAAATATATATAAATTTATAAATTAAAAATAAATTATTAAAAGTTAAAATAATAACAAAAATAGTAATAAAGTCCATGAAGTAAATCCTCTTCTTGGAAACGTTGTCCAATGTAAAGCTTTTACTTTTCTCTAGGGTTCTTCTTGTTTATACTTCTCAGTCATGTTTTAAAAAAATCAAATATAAAGACAGAACAGAAGTAGTACAACCCCATAATGAAGAACAAACATAAATGGTCTTATTTGGGATTTCAAGAAGGTGCAATATAAAAAAAAATAACTTACTGCTTTTGCAACTTATTTCTAAATATATCTGATTTTCTTAATCAACAAATTTTTATTAATTTTTTAAAAGCTCTATGCATAAATGATAAATCCGGTTTTGGTTTGGACTTTTTTGTTTTTAATTTTTTTTATGCTCAATATTTAAATTTTGATTTGGATGAATGTCAGGATTTTTTTGGTAAATTGCTGAAATCCCCTGAAGTTTTTGGTTGTTGCTAAAACCTCTCTTGAAGTTTGATAATTGCAATCACCTCCCTTGGACTTTCTGACGTAGTTGCAAGTAGACCCCCTCTGTAAAATCTTCTAGAAATAGCCATAAAATGTCTAAAATATCCATGTAGTTGCTTTTGAAAACATGTTTATTTTTCAAATTTTCTCTTCATGTGAATCGCTACCCCAAACCCTTCCAATCTCTTTTCTAACATTGATTTATTTTTCAAATTTGTCCATCATATCAATCACTAAAAGGGATGCAACTTTAAATTCTCTTTGTTTTTATTGTTCATAAAGTTTGTATTGTTTTTTTGGTAGAAACCATATTCATTAGTAACAACATAGATATTTTGGGCATTTTATGCCCTTTCTTAGAAGATTATATCAAAGAGAGTATACTTGCAACTGTATTCAAAAGTTAAGGGGAGGTGATTGCAATTACTAAACTTTAGGGGAGGCTTTATTCATTTACCTGAAAGATTAAACCTCTCATAAAGTTTCTATCTGATTGTCCATTGAAACCTTCTCTAAAGTTTAATTATTGCAATCACCTCCTCTGAACTTTCTAATACATTTGCAATTAGATGCCCTCTGGTAGAATCTTCTAAAAAAGGCATGAAAATATCTAAAATACTCATGCAATTACTATTGAGGCTGGTTTCTATGAAGAAAGACAATACAAACTTTATGAACAATAAAAACATAGAGAATTTAAAGTTGTAGCTTTACCTTTGAGTGATTGATATGAAGGGCAAGTTTGGAAAATAAATCAATTTTAGAGAAAAAGATTGGAAGGGTTTAGGTTAGGGTAGTGATTCATATGAAAAGAAAATTTGGAAAACAAACATTTTTGTTAAAGTAATTGCATGGGTATTTTGGACATTTTTGCCATTTTTTTAGAAAATTCTACGAAAGGTAGAGGTGTAAATCGGGTCATGCTGGGCCGACACGGCACAACCTGCCTGTGATCCACACAAAGAGCAGGTCGTGCCATGTCGTGCCGGCCTATGGGCCAAGTTGGGTCGTGCTTCCCTCCCCTGGGATAAGTTGGGGGTTGTTTCTACTTGGCCCACGGCACGATCCCGTGTGGGCCTTTGTCATGCCATGTCGGGTTAGGCTACAGGCTAAACTAGGCCAAAAAGGCCTAGGTTTTTTTTTGTTGTTATTTTGACATTTTGATTTTTTTTCTAAGTAAAACTAAAATACTGAACTTTCCTTTAAAAACAAATTGAAAAATAAAAAATTTAACAAAGAGAAGCGTAAAATACTTACCAAAATACAAAATGGACAACAAATTGGAAAAATGTGAATTTTATTTCATTTAAAATATAACAAAATTACAAATTGAAAATAAAAAACGCATTGTTGAAAAAATAACAAATAATTTAAATAAAATAAAAAAAGTTATTTCATCTCCTTGACTTTAATCACTTGCTTCATCAGGCGTAGTAGTGTTGTGCCATCCTTTATCTTGTAATTTAACCTCAACATCCAACAAATCTTTAAAATATATTGATTTTTCTTGTTTCTCTTGGAGGAGCAAATGACTGTCCAAGTGGCTAGTACAACCCTTGCTATTAAAGCTAAAGTCAATCATACATTTTTGGCAAACGACTCTTTTTTCCTTCCTCTCAACTTCTTCTATTTTAAATATTTTCCAAATTGGGCTAGTGAACTTATTGTTGGGGGTTTTAGGAGGAGGAGCAAACCATTTTTTTTTAATAAAAAGAAAAATTAATTTAATTGCACTTACTCGAATGGTTGGATTACCGGTCCAGAATCTTAACTTGATTTCAGTGGTTGAAGTCTCAAAGCCTCCTAAATTGCTAAGTGTATGATAGTACAAATATGAGACTGTATGAGATGAGAGACTAAGAGAGTATGAGAATTGGGAAGAGAATTGCTGAATTGGTATGATGGAAAATGGTGGAGGATAGGGCTATTTATAGGAGGGTATTTTGGTTATTGTAAAGTCATTTATCACTTCACTTAAATGCCCCCTAAAGTCCCAAACTAGCTATTATATAGGATATAGCTATTAGAGGGGCATTATTGTCTTTTTTTTCTCCCAAAGCGAAAATATATAAATACCCCCTATATAGCTATTTATAGGCTTATAGTTGTTGATTGAGGGGGTATTTCTATAAAAACCCCTTAAAAAAGTTCAAACTAGCCGTTTGGGGTGGGGGGGGTGGGGGTTCCCTAAGGGCCCCAACGCCATGCAGTGCTGCGTGCCGTGTCATATTAGCCCACGGACCTGAAACCCTTGGCCTAGCACGACCAACACGATTATGCCGTGCTTGGCAATGATCCGCATGTCATTGTATCAGGTTGGTCCAAAATCATGCTAGGTTGTGCCATGCTGTAGGCGGCACGACCAGATTTATACCTATAATCAGAGGGGGTCAACTTACAACTATATCAAAAAGTTTAGGGAAGATGATCGCAATTACCAAATTTAAGCGGAAATTTCAGCATCAACGGAGGTTTCAGAAATTTACCCTTTTTGAGTTTTGTAAACCTTTGGAAGAATGTCGGATTGAATTGTATATATAATCCCGTCATGTTCGTATATTTTCCCTGCCTTTCTCTTTCTTTTCTTTTCTTGAGTTGACATTGGCGCCTCACAGGGCGCTTGATTTTTCGTTCAAACCAAACACAGTCTAAACGTCGCAAATGGAAAGGAATACAGGCATGAGGCAAGAAAGAGAATAATGAGAGTAGAAGATTTCCCGCCCCAAAACAAATATTAGGAGTTTCTTTCAAATTTTCAACGGGAGACTAATCCATGAGAGACACCGAAATATAGGGCCTTCGGGCTACAACAACAGGAAATTTCGTCTACAACCGAAATTTAGGTTTTGTCATCTCAGAACTGTGCTCGATGGATCTCGGCGACTTCAACAAAGTTTGGGAAATTAAATCTCTGGAAAAGGTCGGAAAAGATGAAGCAAGGAAAATTCTTGAGAAAATAGCGAAACAGGTTCAACCCATCATGCGAAAGCACAAATGGAGAGTCAAGCTTCTTTCTGAGTTCTGGTAATCTTTTTGCTTGTTTTATCTAATTTTTTTCTCAAGTTTTATGCTTTTATTGACAATAAATTTGTCCACCCCTCCTCGTCCAATTCTTCTGGTATTGTCGCGGAAATGAAAAAAAAAAGTATAGTCCGAAGAATCCGGCCCTTCTAGGGCTCAATGTGGGAGGAGGTATTCAAGTTAAATTGAGACTAAGGAAGCCGAACAGAGATTGGGAGTTCTTCCCGTACGATCAGATTCTCGATACGATGCTTCACGAGCTGTGCCACAATGCACATGGCCCTCACAACGCCGACTTCTACAAGCTATGGGATGAAATCAGAAAGGTTTTGTCAAATTTTCTTTTCTACATTGCACTTTAAAAAATTGATAATTCTTTAGAGAAGTAGAAATAAAAAACTATTTATCTCAGTTTATTCTCACATTTGGGTTCTTGCAAACCCCTCTTTCTCTCTCACACGCGAGCGCGCGAACACACACACACACACAGTTCTCGTAGTTTGTGGTAATGAATACAACTTTCTGTAACTTGGGTGATTTAGGTGTTTTTTTTCCTCTTTTTTTTGATCAGTAGTTTTTTTCCTCTTTTGTGGGAGAGTTGAATATGAACTTCTGAAGTCCTTCTAAAGTTCTGTTTTTGAAGTTGAAACCATCAGCATAAGCACCGGAGATATAGAGTTGCAAATTTCTGTACGCTTTCTTTATTTGTCCATCTTCGTTCATGTTTCATAATGATATTGTCGACGGGGTTGTTCTTTCTCCTGTTCTTCATTAAATATATTTTTTTTGATAAGTTTCTTCATTAAATATGTTCTGTTATGGTGTAGCCATATCAAACCGTAACGAATGTGGCTTTTCTACTTACATGGCAATACAGTAAATGAAAATGGGTACATTGGCGGTAGATGATTTGCCATTTTTCTAAACCATTACCATTGATGGCCACATGCAGTTTTAAACTTCACTCTTTAAACCTACATTCTAGGATTCCTTTTTTGATTTGATCTGTTTTAAACCTCTAATTTATTGGTGGATAGCTTGTGGGAATCTTTGTTATGCTTTGGAAATTGTTGCAAAAAGTTATTAGTGTGGATTCACAATTCTCAATTCAAATGGGGAATAACTGCAAAGAGATGATCCTTCTGGTTGTAGAAGCTTGGTTCTTGCCTTCTTGGTGGCCTACCTACGATAATTGGGAAGATGACAAAAGGAAAAATCTGTCTTCTTTGTAGGTACTTTTATGATCAGCACCATTATTGCAACAATTTTATGAATTATATCCACTACTGAATGTATTCCCCAGGAAACCTTCTGATTTATTGTATGAGCTGCTATTGGCTTTGCTCTCAGAATAGCCACTGGGGAGTTAGTAGTGGCTGTGGAAAGAATGGCTTCTGTATTGTTTGTGCTAAATGCAGAAGCTATGGCTTTTAAGAAGAGGCTTGTTGGGGCTCTTGGTTGTGGAGCCTTGGACCTTATTGCTGAATCAGTCAGATTCTCAGGAGCTTATTACTGCCATCAACATCTCTTCCATGGCAAATGACAAGGTTTAGCCTGCTATTCGTGATATCAAGGTTTTGGCGTCTAAATTTCAGAGCATATCTTTAGATAGGTTAGCAGGTCTTCTAATTTAGTTGCTCATCAGGTGGCAGCTTTTTTCTCCTGGTTGAGAGGTTGGACTGGATGTGTCTCGCACGGTCCTCCTTGGTTGGAGAATTTGATTGCTGTTGAAAGATAATGTTATCCTTCTGTTTTCTTTGTTCCGTTTACATGTGTTGATGTTTTCCCCTTTGTCTACGAAAAAAAAAAAAGAAAAGAAAACATAGAGTTCTTCCAATTTTAAATGGAACCATCTAGTAGTGCACCCATATAACAGGGACATCAACATGCATGTCAGTGTATGTTGCTGGTGTGAGGTGCTTGATTAAGGTGATGTTTTGGTACTTGAAACACTGCCACATAAGTGCTGCCTAGGCGTTTTGAGTTCAAATGTGAAATTTCTGTTTGGTTGAGTGTTTTGATTTAAAACAGTCATAAAATTTTTCTTCAAGAGGCATAAACCAGGGGCTTTGGGGGAACATTAAATTGAAGTTTCCTCCATCGGCCATCCATTTGAAGAGATAGTTCATGGAGCTGTCCCTTAGTTGGCATCATATGTGGCAGTGTAGAGATATATTCTGGTGCATCACATACTAACAAAGATGGATATATACCATCGACCCCATGAATCCTACCTCCATTTTCCTTTTTTTTTTGGAGGGGAGGGGTTCTATACTTGTATGCTAGTATGCTTCTAGAACCATTAGATCTGCATCAGGTAGCAATGCTAAAACCAAACACACACTGCTCAAAAAAATTGTTTAACACCTAGCCATTGCCTCTCTAAATGTTTGAACCTGAAGTGACAATGGTACCAAAAACAACCTAAGTGACCTAGGAGCATGTTTTTATGATAATCTGTGTATAATAGTGTGCTTATAAACATGAAAAGTTATGTAACTGATATCTAAATAATGGTTTAAAGCAAGTTCTACTCATTGTATTTTGTCTAAATAAAAGCGTTGGACAATTTTTGTTATATAATATAGCTATGTGAACCTACTTATCGAAAAAAAAATATAGCTATGTGAACCACTGCACCTCTAGTGGGGTTTAGAACAATGTTGTCAAATTTGAATTGATTCATAAAGTCCTAGAGTGGGATTTGAATTGTGAATCATGAACAAAAGATATAATATTGAAATTTAAGATTTGCAAAACATAATTCATAAGTTCAGTACATTTCTATATTGCATTAAATAGAAGTCTAGAATAGGTTTACCTTCACAAGATTTATGCAATTTGATGGGATTCAGAGGGTGCTCAATCATGATTCTTTCTAGAATGGGACTCTGGGGTTGATAGGGATCTGATTCAATTCAAATCATATGACTGAATTGTGAATTGCACTTACTTAATGGCAGTGCCCTCGAAGGCCTTTTTGTCTTCTATATTGTTCTTCCATCTCAATTCTATCATTGTATTTCCATCCAGTTACTTGATGTTTGGAAAAATTAAGCCTGTACTAATTTACTTACATCTTGATGCAAATGCAATTAGTTTCTTTACTACATTGATTTGTTTTGTTCATAAAGTTTTGTGGTTGTCATGTTTAATTTTTTACTCTTCTGCAGGAATGTGAAGAATTGATTGCCAAAGGAATATCTGGCACTGGGAAGGGGTTTGATCTTCCTGGGAGACAATTGGGTGGTTTTTCCCGTCAACCCCCTTTGTCATCTCTTCGCCAAACTGCACTGGCTGCAGCAGAAAAGCGAGCACGCCTTGGATCTTTGTTACCATCTGGACCTAAGCGCCTTGGTGGTGATAGTAAAATTATGGTTGCACTTAGTCCAGTACAAGCTGCTGCAATGGCTGCAGAAAGGAGATTACAGGATGAGCTGTGGTGTGGATCGGACTCTTGTGGAGCTTCTGTTGAAGAAAGTGACATTGATGCACCAAAATGTGCATCTAGGGACCAGCCTGCTGAAAACTCAAAATCTTTTAATGTTTCTGGGAGGCATGCTTCAGATCTGATATCTAGGAAAAGACAGCGGGTATCAGATGGTGAATCATATTTTGAGGCATCTAATGCAGGGCCGGAATCTAATTTTGTGGATTTATCTGATTGTGCTTCAACTTCGGGATCCAGGCTTAATCATGATGTAACAAATAGTGCAGAGAATGAAGATATTTGGGAGTGTGGAACATGCACATTGTTCAACCCTGTGAGTTTTAACACCCATTTTTCAATTGTTTTATTTGATGGTTTTTCATTTTCAGCATATTCTTCATTGGTTTCTGATTGGATTATGTATATGAATTTATGTTCTTTATTTGGCTAATATGTTGGTAGCAACTTAGGTGCTCATTTGGTTTGAAATAATTCAGCTATGCTTGTTTTTTCTAAATTTATCAAATTTGTGCATGATTTCACTCAACTGTGAACTCCATTATAAATGTTTTCCCCACACTTAGATTTTAGAACTTTAGATAAGTATGGGTATCAGTTTGAGTTGTACATTAGTGCTTGAAATTTTCCGTTGTCAAACTTGTATACATTGATAGACATCCACTATCAGCACCCTTGTCAAATTGAGAAGCTTAGCCACTCTTTTGAGTGTTGACTGTTGAAGAGCCTAAACAATTTTGGATTGACTTCCCTCTCACCCCTCAGAGTTGGAATATTAGATCTTTCTGGAAGCATCTTGCTATGAAAAACCAAGAATATTAGAATGCTTAGACTCAGTAAAATTACTTTAAAAATGTCAATACCCTTGATTTTCGAAATAAAATTGAATGTAGTGGTTATGCTTTAAATATTTTGTATTATTTGCCTATTAAATACTTGGATGTAGTTTTGTAGTTGTTAATGAACTTTAAAACCATTGGTTTACCAGTTTTTAAGAATTTGTTGTTTAGCCATGTCGGTTAACACTAATTCCCTAAAGGCCAAAGTCGTACAGTGTCATTTCTATTCCATTTTATTTTGTTCATCATTTTTATTACCTGATCCCCATTCACATGATGTTTTAAATAATAATGTGTGGTTGCTGCAGCCGTTAGCTCCAGTATGCAAAGCTTGTGGTAGCCAAAAGCCTAAAGATGTTGAAACCAAGTTCAAGATCTGGTCATGCAAATTTTGTACTCTAGAAAACAGCGTGAAGCTGCAGAGATGCTCAGCTTGTGGAGAATGGAGATATTCATATGGACCACCAGTTTCTACACCTGCACCTAACCTTGGCACATGAGATTTGTAATTGGGAAACGCATGAAACTAGACAGTTCTAAGTTGTTCCTTGGAGTGCTTCAGAGTTAGATACCATGCATCTTTGAAGATATCGGCGGCAAATATTTTCTTGAACGCAGGTTACTGGTGTTGCCCTAGAAATAGAACCAAGCTTATTTTTACACTGGTCATACATTGATCCTTGCTACCTTGACCTTTCGATTTTCTTCTTGGTTGTAAATCGTTTTGCTTAACTCATGGTAAAGCCATATTATTCTAAATACCAACATAGGTCATGGTGAAGCTATTTCTAGAAAACAAATGTTTTTTTTGTATAATTATGTGTATCACAATTTTTTTAACAGAAGTAGGTCAAAATCAAGGTTCAAAAAATTGTTATGTATCGGCCTGTATTGGATGTATCATATTGGGAGTACACCAATATGCCCCTACAGAGGGTGTATCAGGGTTCTGACCGGTTCAAGCGGTGGACCCCCTTGAATTGGTTTTGAAAAAAAATAAAAAAAAAAGTAAAAAAAGGTCTGATATTGCCCGATGCACCCCTACCGGCGTATCGAGGGTATCGATATTTAGAGCATTGGTTAAAATGATGGTATATAAGAACAAAGACTAATCTTGTACTGCCTGTATGCCAACCCATAAGCATTTGTAAATAAACGTCCATCCTGTTTGGGTTGGCTTTGGTTGAGCTACTGGTTGGGTGATTTTAGAGAAACTACCCAAACTAGTCACCAGTAGAAAGTTGGGCCTTGTTTGGCAATGTTTCCACCTGCTCTTGTTCTTTTAAAAATTCCTATTCCAGAACAAGAACTTTATTTTTTGTTCTTTAGGAGTAACAGATACGTTTGGTAAATTGTTCTTTTTGAACGAATTTTTGTTCTACAGAAACAAAAATAGCATTTGGATATGAAACTATTTCTTAACATCAATTTTGCAAATCCACCCACATTAAGCCTAAAATTAATCATAAAAAACACATCGTAGTCATAGCAATGTCTACATGTTGCAATACCTAATCCTTGATCGGTTCATAACACATAACAAAGGACAATCTTCATGATATTCAACATATAACAAAAGATATAATAACACAATGATGCGATTAGAGAAGAAACCCACCCATTCAGCATAACATATAACCATCAATGGGATTAGAGAAGAAATCACACTCATTTGGCATAACATATAACAAATGCAAACAAAATAATATAAGAAAAACGATTTTAGATTGATGAGATTAAAACTCATCTTTGTGATGGGAGCACAAATGATTTTAGGTGAATCTGGCAGGAGAAAAGGTGAGTTTAAAACAAAGCACATGATACAAAACCAGGTACATTGACGAGACAATATACTTGTTGACATGTTCTTGGTTGGCAATGCCGTTGGTTCTTTCTACCGTTTGCTCGCCATTTGGTTGGAGCTAAGGGAGTCCCTTCTTCCTTTGAGATTTGTAGCGGTAAATTGGAGTTCACTATCGAACAGAAATGCTTGGTAGGGCTTCTTTCTATCATTTAGTGTGAAATACCCAAACTACCCCTTATCTCACGTTGGAATCGTTAACACATGTTCGTTAGTAGGGGTTAACATCGTGGGAATCGCACGTTCCCTGGGAATGCGTTCTTTGGGAGCATCGATTTTTCACTCCCAAAGAACACGTTCTTTGTGTGATGTTCTCATGCGAGAACATCTTTTTATTTTTATTTTTGTTTTTCTTGTACCAAATGTGTTTCTGCTTTGTGAAAAAACTAGGAATGCTCGCATAACGCTGCCAAACAGGGCCTTGATTTCTTGGCCCAACCAATGTTTTTTGCATTTGGCTTTCAAGGGTAAGAAATAAACATTGCTTCATCGCTATGGGAAAGCCCTCCCCAATGTGCACGTAATGAAACATGTTTTACCATTATATGCCTATATGGTTTTGCTTTGCCATGCTTGACTTGATATGTGGCCCAGCAAGCCTGGCCCTTACCTATTGTTGTACCTTGTCTTAAATCCGTGCTTGATTGGTGACGAGGAGCGATTTGGCCCTCCAGTGAAATTACATCATGTGGCACCATCAAACTGTTGTATAACACATTGGTGTCACGTAGGCAGTGACGTGTCTGCACCTAGCTAGATGGATTCACCTCGAAGTATCCTCAAACACATCTCAGGCGCCCAACATCACCTCAGCTAGGGATGGCTTTAGGGGGCGTACAAGCCACGGTAGGATCTGACCAAGGACCTTGGCAAGAGGGGTGACATCCCTTCGAAGACTGATTGACCAAATCGAGGCGAGGTGGTGGTCCACATTATGTGGCGACCAATTTTTGCTCGTATTACTTATCATCTTTGAGTCCTCTAGGATCACATTGCCCGACCGATGAGGCTGATTTCCATGCTACCTGCTTCGAAGATAACCAGATAAGCCTTATCGCTATCCGCATAAACCACCTTCGAGTAGACCTGTTCATGGGTCAGGTAGTCTAATGGCTCATCCTAGCTGCAGTCGTGCTTGGACAATATTATTAGTCTCGTGGGCCCGGGCCTAGGCTCAGGATTTCACATAAAAGCTCAGCCCAAGCCAGGCTCGGCCTGACAATATTATATATTAATATATATAATAATTAATAATATATATTATAAAAAATGTTATAAAATGCATATTATTTTTTTTTTCTAAATCCTAACCCTAATTCTTCTCCTTTGATAGTCTCCCTCCTTCAACCTGTTCGAACCTGGAAGAACTTGGAAGTTTCTTCTCTTCCACATCAGCGTCAGCAGTACTTGTTGGATCATCTCCTTCCACAAGTAGTGATTGGCGATTGGCAACCAGTGAGTGGCGGATAGTATCATCTCTCCGGCGAGGTCCCATTCTCTATCTCTTTGGTTCTCCCTAATCTCTGTGTATTCAGACCAAAGGTGACATCCCTAATCCCCGTTCTGCAACAGCTCTAACAACATCTACAATGACACTTTGGCAGCCACAAACAACTCCATCTCTCTCTGGCAATCATAGCGGCACTTCGGCATCCCCATTCCTAATTCATGTCGGGCTTCAGGCTTGGACTCGAGCCTCGGGCTTTTATGAAGGTTGGTCTCGGGCCTAAGATCTAGGCCCAATGGTTGGGATAGGCTTAGGCTCAGGCCTGAATATATATGTTGATAATAGGTGAAAGACCACTAGCTTGAGCCTAGCCTGACCCGACCCATGAACAGGTCTACCTCTGAGTGTGGCTGGCTGGTAAGCCACATCCTCCCAGAGATCTCAGATGTGCTACGTGAAGCTCACGACTACTTGTGCCTATATAAAGGTGTCCCCTTCAACCAGAGGAAGTATGTGTGATTTACCTCTCAGAACTCTCTTGTTCTCTTGCTTCCCAGCATCCATAATTACTCTTTGTCTTCTCTATAATTTAAGCATTGGAGTGCCCATCCCAGGTAAAGCACCCCGGGTACTCTGACTGTTTTCTTGCAACTCAATTGGCCGATCTCATCTGTCAAGCTTCTGAGCTATCGTCTAGTAGGAAACACTAGATCGTGCACCATCAATCGGGTTGATAATTGGTGTGGCCACCCCACTCATAATCCTCAAAAGCAATTCAAGTTAGTAGAAGTCCTAACTCTTGAGCCTGTGTGACTCAAAGATGTTCATGGGTCGGGCTTGGGTTTGATTTTTGCCAAAATGTGAATAGGCTGTCTAAAAAGCCCGAACCTAACACAGTATAAAGCCAGGCCCGAAGCCCAGTCAATGCGCATATCTACTCGCAAAGAATTCAAGTGATACAAGAATCGGGTTGAACGGAATAGTGAATACTTGACAATTCATTTGGACGGTATAAAACAGAAACCTATTGGAGATCCAAAGTTGATAACTTTGATACTGTGAACCTTAAAGACTGTGTTTGGTTTGGAGGAAAAAGTAGGGTAAGGAAGGAACATATAGCCTAAGGGGTCGTAGTAAAAAATGGAGTTGCCACCGAACCTTTTTTCTTTGGCGGGCTGTTGTCATTGGACCATGCTTGAAGAACCAAAGTGCAAACTGCAAATTGTACAACCTGGCCTATGATCTCTCTGTCATGTTCTTGTTATTGATAAAGACCGTCTTCACCAATGTCCTGTAACTGGGGTAAGGAAGAGTATAATAGGCTAAGACCCACAAACCCCAGGCCGGACCGGTCCTCAACGCAAAACCCAGGCCTAGACACAGAAATTTACAGGGCAGGCCAGGCTGGGCTAGAAATGATCACCTAAAAGGGCCGGCACTTGCACATTGTGGGTAGGAATGGCAAC